GGATGGGTGTATGGAATTAATGTGGTTGAGAAATTGGTTCAATGCTGGCAGACCATGTGGCCAAATGATGAAAGTGTCATCTACATATCTCTTCCACAAGGAAGGATGTAGGGTGGATGTCTGGATGGCATCCGTTTCAAATTTCTCCATGAAAACATTCACTATCACTGGTGATAAGGGGGAACCCTCGCGTTCCCTCTCCTGGCGTCCACGCAGCACTTCCCCCCTCCCCCAAACCTCCCTCTCCCCCCCTTGCCCCTCCCCCCGTTCTTACCTATACACTATATAACCTCTTACCACGGCAACTCTCTCCCACGTCAACAAAAACATTTCTTGCTGTGGTTTTCCCACCTGATGATGATTGCTTGTGTTGCAATCGAAATGTCGTGATTTAATTTATTTTATACCTACGTGACTTTACCGAAAGAACCAAAGGAGTAGAGAAATACAATATTTAATTGCCTGGGCCATTTTGTATTATTTGGTCACCCCGGGGTACCGCCATAAGGATCATGCGAATCCTCTGTGACCTCGCAATTCCAATACGACCTGAGAGAAATGCTTTCATTGCACCCGCCCAATGTCAGGCAATTTGGCAGCCGGGCCAAAGAGTGAGAGGCCGGTTTGACAGCATGTTTCAGAGGTACGTGTGCGTAGGCATTTTTTGTTTGTGGGTGCGCGCATTCCACTGGGCATTAGATGTTTTAAATTATGGATTTGGGAGTGTGTATATAAAAAAGTGAATTGTATGCATTGATAACCTGAAGGCCGTCACCAATTTAGCACACTAATCCTTTTAAAATCAGTTGCCAAGCACAGCCCCAAACAGTACTAATTTAGGCGTAATTAGTTGAAAGTTTAACACAAAACCGAGTTCATCAAATGAAGTGTGCTGCTTTGGACAACAGGCGCTCGTCCCCTGCTAATTAGGAATGTGGATTTGTCCACCGCCGTAAACGGGAGCTGAATACTACCGCTGCAAGAAGGAACACAGAAGGGCTCAACACACGGGGCGGGGCTCAACACACGGGGAAGCCCCCCCCTCTTCCCTCTGTATTGCCACGTGCAGCCCCCCAGATCTCGGCCTCCCTGTTCTCTGCCCCTCTCAACTAATCCCTCCTCTCTGACATGTTCACACCCCTTGTCCGTAGATGTGACAAGCTCTGCTATCATGCTATTTTACTAAGGGTGCTTATAAACAACACCCGTCCACTACCACTGTGTGCTCCTTTGAGCGGGAGATCACTAAAAGAAAAAGACTACAGCACTTATGACCTCACGCGGTCGGGTTTCATCAAGTACTGTACCTTCCCACAGGGCACTTTGCTGTGTGCTGGTGAAACCTGATGCGCACAGTATAATCATAATTTGATTTACAGCCCGGTTTGTTAATCCACCGATGTGAGGAAGGCCGTGTCTGTTTGACCATACTTCACGCTGGTCAAGCGGGGCGCTGACTGAGGTGTAGAGGGGGGGGGTTCCCAGAACCGGTGGGGATGTCACTCACCACTTGGACGTTAGCCGTGACCGGGAATGGAAACTCAGGCCACCGGGCAGCGTGACATCCACGACGCCACCGCTCCGCTGGATGTGTACATACCCACCCCCCCGGCAGCATTTAGCGATTTCTCAAATTTGAAAACGGAATTTGAACTTGACTAATCGAATTGGAATGCCCATGTGTTCGAGCGTAGGCGAATTGTGCGTCTCCGTCACATTGTAATGCTTGCAGTAACCCAGTAAGAGTCGTATTTATGTGCCTTCTTCCCTCCTCAATTGCGCAATAAAAAAAAAACCTCGCTTGCCCGTGGGCAAGTGGATTTGCTAGCAGCACAGTATCACTACCGACGCGTATTCTGTTGACGGTTACAGCACGTGTCGATACAAATACGATGGCTGTTGCCGTGGTGGAACAGGCCAAGGTCGACAGTTCCACCATTTCACCTACTGGTGTGGCAGTTGAAAAATATATAAACGTTCCATATACCACCCGCCCCGGCTCTGTCCACCCACCAGTATAAACTGGTACAGCAGTCTCATGATCGGTAGGTCGTGCGTGGTAAAATGTGGGTATTCCCACCTCTTCCGAGAGTGTCCAGCGTGGAAGAGGAGACCAAAATACCTGCTCAGTGGAGCTCTCTCGTCGAGGCTGTTCTGCCAACATTGGGCATTAGCAAGGAATTACAGGGCTGCACCTTCATGGACAACCGTTTAAAATGAGTTTTGTGGTTGAGTGTTTTTGGTATGTTGCTGTTTTTATGTTTTTTGCAAGAAAAAATATAAGTTTTTTTAGATAACGGAGTCAACTATGCAATGATTTAAGTGACTAAACGTCTGTTTTGCAGTACCAATCTGTAATTAGGATTACTTTCCCTTTGGCTACTTATTTTTCTGATGACTTAAAAAGCACGCCGTATTGTCATGTAAAAGCTGTATGTTGGTCCTGACACAGTGATCGTGCAGGTATAATTTTCGTGTGCGGAATTTTCTGTAACTGCTCTAGGTGTCAGTCAAATTATTATTTTCTAAACGCCCATTGAATAAAATGAACATTTGCGTGCAGTGCCGTTTGCAAAATCGCCACCATCATTTTTTTTTTCTATGGTTGTATCTTAAGATTTTCTTGTACATCATTATGATACATTACAGATTTGTCACATTCCGCTGCTGGATAAGGGCCTCCCCCATATCGTACAAGTTCTGAACTGTATGTTGAACTTCTTTCGCACTATACGTAGCCAACCGTACTAATCTGAGGTGTGGGTCGGGAAGGACAACATACTCGCTGACCGCATCGCTTCATCTTCATATGGATCATCCACTCGGGCAGGTTCTCTCCTGTGGTTGCTACTCCATAAGCAGAAATGAAGTTGAGTATAATCTGGATTCAACATTCGAAACCAGAAGTGACTGCAAATGAGCTTACTTGTCGAGGTTCCATACCCTGGCGTGCAAGGAAATGGCAATGCAGCAAAAGTTCACCCACAATGTTCCATCCGTATGGGATAAAGTGTCGCCCTCTCGCACACGTGGGTTCTCTCTCCGGGTCTGCGGTTTCCTCACACATGCAAACCAATGAATTGATATAGCTGCCTTTCCTGGTTGTTTGTGGTTCATCACAGCTCTTGAGTGAGCAAATACTGCGCGTGTCACAAACTGAAATTACTGCGTATAATTGTTCTTTACTTTGATCAGGTTTTTTGTTCCATAAAACCATCCCACTTGTCTTGGCAACATCATGAGAGACAGACAGCACCTTGCTCTGCCGATCGCTAAATTGTAAAGATAAAGAGATATCGGAATAAAGGAGTTTCCAAAGATGTTACAGCTTGGAAGCACATTCCACTGGGCAAGGTGCGGCAATTTGTAAAATCGTGCCAAGTCAGTCTACTTCGACTTCAAAGAGCTTGCGTGGAGTGTATTTGGTTGCCTCGATTCAGAGGTGAAAGTTCCACATTCTTATGGTGGAGACGAGTTATCTTTATTACAGAGCAGACAGTTATTGGACTTAAACAATCACAGTTTACAGAATTGATTGCCGATTCCTATAGGCAGGAACAGTCAATCGTTTATAGTATTAAATTTTGTAATGATGAATGCACCGATTGGCACGTACAAACGGCACGGCGACAGACAGGCCTTAGAGATAAAACAAAGTTAAAGGTGCGGGTCTGCATCTGCTTTCCGCCATTGCTGGCAGAAGAGCCTCAACTGTAGGGAGGTAGTGGGTACTTGGTGTGCTCAATCTTGATTTGAAGCTTTCGTGACTGCAGGAGTTCATACTCTTTGGTTCTTTCGGTAAAGTCACGTAGATATAAAACATAACTAACGGGCGAGAGGGTGGGGTGAAACATACAGGGGGGAAAATGTGATGGAGAGAAAAGAAAACGATATCAAACTGAGCAAACTTAGAAATGTAATGCAACTTTGGTCTGCTCTTTTACGCGACCAGACGTGTGTTGGTAAGAGGTTGGTGTACCCACATTTTACCCCACCACACGCGACCAGCCAATCAACGAACTGTTGTGGTGGTGGGCGGCGGGGTGGGAGTAGGATTTTGAAATAGGCCCCATTGTTTCAACTGCCGCACCAGGAGATGGAATCAAACCGGCCGGGTCGTCAATAGGGTGGTGGGTGTGCGGGGCCCGGGGCAAACTAAAAAAATCACCCATCGTGTGGGCTCCCCCCGACACCTTCAAACTAAATCAGAAGTATTACAGCGTGACGTCTAAGCGCACCCCCCCCCCCAAGCACCGGGCCCGGGGCGGTCGTTCCGATTCGCAGTACCGTATAGTACGGGACGGCTCTGCGAACCGGCCAACTCTGGGACTGTAAAGTCCAGCGTGGGAAAGCGTTATACTTAGACTGCGGAAGCTCTGTAACGTCTATTGTTTATTGCTAGACCAGACACCTATCCACAAATGTGCGGCAAACCGGTAACAGGTTATATTTTTCTTAAGTGTTTACAGGTAATAAAAAAAAATCATTTTAACAACCCTACTCTTGAGCGTCATTAATCCCTCATTATGCATGACGTGGAATGATTGTGGACATCCGTGAAAATATATTTATAGCTCATCGGATTCCTCCACTATAAACACATTCTGATTCTTACGTATGTTGCTTAAAATTTGTTAAACAAAATTACGTGCGATGCTGCTGCTGCTGCGGTGGTCCACAAACACCAACAAACCTCCCCCCCCCCCCTCAACATTTGTAAATAACAGTGGCGCCTCCAAGATAAAATAGGCGACGTTTCGGGCAATAGCCCATTCCCCACAGCAACGTCAAACCCCGCAGTTGCCCCCCCCCCCAAAGGTTTGCGGCGACGGCTCTGCACGTGGCGCTCCGGCGACGTCACCGCCGGACCACGCGCCGCGGTGACGTCGCTCCCCGCGTCGCGGTGACGTCGCTCCCCGCGTCGCGGTGACGTCGCTGCGCGCGCCGCGGTGACGTCGCGCGCGCGCCGCGGTGACGTCGCTGCGCGCGCCGCGGTGACGTCGATCCCCGCGGTGACGTCGCTCCCCGCGTCGCGTGCGCGCCTTTCGCGAATCCGCGCACGCGCCGAATGCGATTACAACTTTCACACAACGTTAAGGAGCAGGGGAGTTTTTCAAAAACTTATCTTTGGCGTTGTTAAAGTAGTCGAGTGTTTTGCGTGGAGAGGCGGCTGCGGCGGCGGCCGCAGGCTTCGGACGTCAGAAGTCTTGCGGCGAGGTGGGTGGTACGCTTGTCAATGTACAGTGTATACTGCATATGATGTCGCGCCATTACGCGGCGTTCAAATTATTTTAGACGCGTCTCCAAAAACGCGTTGTGTGCATTGAAGACATCTCGACGCGTGTGTGTGGATAGCGTTCGTGTCGGGGAGCGGTGGTGTAGCGGTTAGCGCAGCGCTGCGCTACGATCCTGGCGACCCGGGTTCGATTCCCGCTCACGGCCAACACCCAATGACGATTATCTGAACCGGTCCTGGGACTTCCTCCCCTTCCCTAGGTCGACTCGGCCTCAAATGAGTACCTGGCGCGATGTGTAAACATCTCCACGAGGGAGACAAAGACGGCCTGGCGTGGTGTTGGCCACCCACCCCCTCGTGTGCAGTGCCGGCCTTTATAGGTGCTCGCTAACAGCACTCGCCCCTACAATCTGTTAAGGCTATACGGGGGATCTGTGTGTTGAAGCAGAATGCACGTTCAGCGTTCCTGTGCTTAACGCATGCTCCTCGGTACAGTGCCGTTTTATTTTGGCGTGGAGCGGTGGCGCAGCGGTTAGCGCGCCGCACTGAACCCGGCGCCTCTGACAGCCCCCCCCCCCCGAGTTCGATTCACTCAAAGATAAACACTATTAACAGTCGGCGTCGCTGTGGAGAATACACAAGTGACAACGAGACGGATATAGCAAGCACATCTGTCCTGGGAAGCCCACGACAGTCTCGGAGACATCGCTCGTGGCCGATGTTCGCCGTGGCACGGACGTCATTTAAATCAAGTGACCACTGACCAGTGGCTTTCGTGAGCTACACTTCTGGAGGGGAGGGGGGGTGGCGTTCGATTAAAAGTCTCCGTAGGTTGCCCCCCCCCCCCCGCCCAGACTCAAACGAACCTGCGCATTGACAAGAGTGGTGAAGTATGGACAGAATCTCCATGCCAGACATGGTTAGGCACGGCAATTGGGAATTCCCTACCACCACCAACCATCCAATGGCTGTGTCGAGGATGAGCGCCTTTCGTAATCGTAGCGCAGCACTGCAACCGTGGACGAAGCGTGGCCCAAACTTTGACCGCACGCGCGCCACTGGACGGCGTTGTCAATACACTGGTGGATGATGGAGGGGGGGCGTCGCGCCTTGCAGATCGTGGCTGGGTGGTTATTTGACCGTACGTAGTGCGAATTGGTTTAAGCCGGGGGGGGGGGGGGGGTCACCTGCAGCTCTGGATAAGCATGCGGTGGCTCTTCGTGACGCGACGTACGCGGGCATTTATTCACGTGTGCGTTGGCGGCTGTTGAAATGCTGCAAAGTATGTTTTCGTAACAAATTCGCACGAACATTTCATCTTCTTATATTGCTAGCCCCCCCCCCCCCCCCGCGGTTTAGGCGGAGAGTATTCTCCGTGTGGAAGTACGTGGTGCATTTCCCCCCTCAGATTTTGCTTGCCCGACCCCTGGTTTAGGCAGAGAGATTATTGGAAGCGTGGAAGCACGCGTTGCATTTTTCCGCACAAACCCTCTCCCTCTGCTGCCCCCACCACGTAGCCCCCCCGCAGCAGCCTATAACGCCTGTAATATATGCAGGTCACTAAACCAAGCATCATCCTCGCTCAATGACGCTTGATCACAGAACATTGGTGTATAGCTTTCGCATATTTCGCACATTTGTTTAAGATTAACCGATTTTGTTTACGGTCTCGTAAAACTACTGTATGTTATGACCTCGATAAAAAAAGAGACGTGCCGTCTGACGTCACTTGGATTAATTTTGTTATATTGCGGTTTCCGGTTTCATAATATACATTAAGTGTGGTTCTTTGTACCACTTTAGTGAAAATCCACAACCCTTTTATTATCAACCCATCGTTATCGGTCATGCGGGATTGTTGACCATACCTCACCATGCTGTGCCAGTGCTGGTCGGTGGTAATGGAGGCCGTGGCCTGCACCGAACTCTCTTTACCGTGTCTGACACATCTCACCCCTCGACCGTTAAAGGAATTTACAGTGAGGGAAAAAAGTATTTGATCCCCTGCTGATTTTGTACGTTTACCCACTGACAAAGAAATGATCAGTCTATAATTTTAATGGTAGGTTTATTTGGACGGTGAGAGACAGAATAACAAAATCCAGAAAAAAGCATGTCAAAAATGTTATAAATTGATTTTCAATTTAATGAGGGAAATAAGTATTTGACCCCCTCTCAATCAGAAAGATTTCTGGCTCCCAGGTGTCTTTTATACAGGTAACGAGCTGAGATTAGGAGCACTCTTAAAGGGAGTGCTCCTAATCTCAGCTTAGCTCAATGGGCCTTACCCAAAAAATAAACCGGCTGCCTATAGGAATGCAGGGGATTGCGTGGTGGGTAGCAGAGGATGGTGAAAAATAGTTCTCATTGTACTCTACATCATTGCTACCCATGGTCACCCCCCCCCCCCTCGATTGACCTTTATTATTTCATTCATCAGTGGATTGACAGAGGCACTGTAAACGTGCATTTGTTATACATTTAACAATTTTCGGTTAATTTAGAGCATTCTACAAAAACTTCATCCGACTGCTGTTGCATAACTGTGGCTGTCCTGTGGAATGACTGATCCCTGCCATGGGAATGCGGAATTTCTCCACTGGCTCAGGCGAGGATCACCATCCCACCGTTTTCTAGTTTGAGCCAGGCAGGCATGGCGGTGCACAGCTGTAAACGAGCAAGGGGGTTGGTGGATCAGACATTTGTGAAACTTGCAAGCCTGCTTTGCAGCTAGGTGACCAGTACCACAATGGATTATTCAATCCATCCATGGATATTTGACTGTTATTCACTAGTATGCGTAGGTTTCTGGCTGCTCTGGTTTCCTCCCACATGAAGTCAAACAAGAAGTTGCCAAATATCCCAATGGAGGGTTCTCCTTAAATTGTCTTCGAGACTCACGGCGGCTTTCGTGGACAACCAAAGGGCATTATATATGGACTCTGATGCAAAGTTATTTACACTTTCATATATTTGCTCTGGAGGGATGGCAGTTGCATTTGGACTCAATTATGCATCTAAAGCGTACCATTGTATTGTACATGTTCTATAGCCTCATTTCCTTACATAGCCTGTACACGTGTGCACTATGCTGTGTAACCGAGCATCACATGGTCGGGGTACAGTATCATGGTGAATGCGAGTATAGTATTATGGTGAATACTACCAACACACATGGAGGCTTTGGGGACCTTTGTTTCTTAAAATAGTTCGCTTGGGCATGTAACATATACCATAATGCTAGTCGCAACAGGATTTAGAGGTGGTAAGTAAAACAGGGGTGAGTCAAGTCTGTCCCAGTAACCCAATTCTTGGTATAATGATTAATTCTTGCTATTTAAGTGCACACTTCCTTTCCCGCTTGGCAGTTCACATCAGCTTTGCGGTATGAATTGCAACTGCGTTGGTACAAGAAGGTAACATTAATCACCTTCACCTTTTCCATTTCATGCGACATTTTCACGTGTTTTTTTATATTATTAACATTTACTCAGGAAGTCTCACCAAGTTTCAGGACATTTTTTTCCTGGAAGGTTCTGCGAAGTTTTGCAGTGGGGGGGGGGGGGGCTGGTGGGGGCGACGATTGCTATGTTTTTCCCAACTTTATTGATCATTGGAATGCCACGGCAAGGTGTGATAACTTAATAAACGCGTCAGTGCTTGGGCTTGCCCAGGCAAGTTCTCCTGGGAAGCTGCTTATGCCCGTCTGGTGGAGAGAGCCTCAAAGCAGCCACTTTTAATTCACTCAATATACCTGCATGCGTCACCTAAGACCTAGGACTGGAAAACCCGAAGTGAAGTGTATAGCCTCTTAAACTGGAGCTTAGGGGTGGTGGAGTAAAATACATATTTATTTTAATTTACAGTGGGTATGGCATTGCCCTATGAACCAGGCGACCTACGTTTCTTGACCTCAGCTAACATAAGTGGTGATATCAGAACCGGTCATTAGTTTCACCTTCACCGACCTGTGTAAAGTGTGGTCAAACAATCTCCACGACATATGCGGTGTGGGGGGAGGCCTTCATCCAACAGCAGATTGGCAGCTGTAGAAGAAACCAGAGCTACCACGGATCACCACAGGTCTAGCAACGATTTACAGGATGCTTAGACGCTTGGAGTTTGAGTTTGAATGTGCATTCTCATAACCAGGTAACGCCGTCACGTGTCATGAGGGATGGCCCACCCGCCGGCCCTCAAAGCTCATGAGTCATCTACGACATGTCAATATGGGGGACAGAGGGAGAGGAGGGGGGATAAACACATCCGCTCACTTGAAGCACACTGTTGAACGGCGTCCACTTTCCGTCGCTATATAAAGGGTTGTTGCGTAACTTCTTGCTGAACGTATTCGTTGAACTCAATCCTTCGCGTGTTTAACAGCAATCAACGTGCACTTTCGCGGTTTTCGACGGCCGCGCACGCGTGGCGGTGCCGTGCCTCGCTGTTGGAACGTCGCGCTCCGGGAAGGATGGCGGGCAGCGTGCCGGCGTTCGTGCGCGTCGCCTTCTCCGACCTGGAGTTCTACGAGCACTGCGGCGGCGGCAGCTTTGGCAGCGTGTACCGCGCTCAGTGGCTCTCGCAGCGACGTGAAGTCGCCGTCAAGAAACTGCTCAAGATCGAGAATGAGGTGACCGGACCACAATGGACGAGGTGTTAATTACCTTGTCGCCTGGTATGCAGGTGGCCGTGGTTTCAATCCCGACCCAGATGCCTGTATATTTGGAGTTTACATGTTCTTCCTGTGGTCGCGTGGATTTTTCCTACAGGTCCTCCGCTTTTTCCCTTCACATTTAGAAACGTACGTTTAGAGTTTTTGGCTGCTGCTATAAATTTCCACAATACACTTCGTTGAGCTATCATTTGTGACCAGGTCGCTTCTGAAAGAGAGCTATATAGCTCAGTGAGTTTTGCCTGAAAATAAAAAAAATGTTCATTACCTGGTGGTCCGAATGGCTCGGGTCTCGTGACATTTGCACACCGACGATTGTCACATACTGTATACCACGTAACCGTATGTGAGAGTATGGTTAGCAGTGGTGTAATCGTGAGCACACTGGTATGTGCTACAGACCCAGCGACGCAAATCTTTGTTTTTGGCCAAGAGCCAACATCAGTTGCAAATGGTATCTATATCTCTCTGGGGCCTTCCTTAAATGAGTACCTGGTGTTTCTCTAAACGAGTCAACGATTCCCTCGAAACAGACAACCTGGTTCTGGGTGTGAATGCAAGCGCCGTGGGCAAGGGCAAACAGCTGTCGTTCTGACCACATCTTCACGCGCACCTTGCCGACCTTAATTAAGTGCTCCTTTCGCAACGTTTACCCCAGCAGTTTATAAAACAACATAGATCTTTGCGTGTGATGCATGTACTGTATATGCTTGATACATGACAACATCCGTATTTGCTTCAGAGTACCGAAAAACTCGTTATGATTGGCGAACATAAACCATTCAAAACTTGTCATTGTAAATTTGCATGTTTAATACATACATTGAGATAGCGGTTTCATTTTGATGACGACTGCCAAGGTGGCAAAGCTGCAGTGCAATTCATATTAAAATGTGGCAACGTAATTACACCATGCTTGCCCCGAAATGCAGTGTTTACTTTCAATTTCATACCCTTGCAAATGTACTGCTTTGACATTCTGGACCAGACAAAGTACATTGTCAATGAGAATGGGTTATTATCGTGTGTTACATTTCGAAAGCCGAGCAAGCTAATGAATAACCCAAGAATGACCCTTGCTGCGACCGAGTGTGCCTGCCCTGACCTAGCACGGGGAATTCGTCTTGGCTCAAATCACACGTTATTGCTGATATAATCGATCGTAAAAACAGCTCAGTTCTTGTGCACGTGCCAAGTGAACATTTATGTCGCAGAACCGCGGGAGATGCCGATGTATCGCAATTAACGTTGCCCTCGTTGTGTTGTGGTGTTTTGTTTTTGTTTATAAACGCAGGCCGAAATACTGAGCATTCTCAGTCACAAGAATGTGATCAAGTTTTTCGGCGCTGTAACGGATCCACCAAACTATTGTATCATTACTGGTGAGTCTTAACGGACGGGTTTAACGTGTAAATGCATTGCTCTTAAAAAAAACCTATCTTTCCAGGTAGTTATTATTGTAGGCTGACAAATCTTTGTTATGGCGATGAGCTCTTAAAAGCCGTTCACCTCAAACATTGGAAGGCATCTATTTTTTCTAAGCATGGAGAATTAAAAATAGAAATAGACCGCCAAGTCATGACATGCTATTTCTGGAACAGAGTTTGCGGCCAAGGGGTCCCTGTTTGAGTTCTTGGCAAAGAAGGAAAGCGACAACATGGAGATTGACCAGATTTTTGCCTGGACTGCGGACATCGCGAGAGGTGACGATTTTGCATCCCTTACGAACACACACACGGATTGCACGCCGGTTTTGTACCGAACCCCTCTGCTCCCACTTACGTGCGCCTCAGCTTCACCAATCAACACTGATCATTGTGGTCAAGTAGACGTTACTCAAGGAATCCCCCCCCCCCTCCGTGACCCACACAGCCAGAGGTCCGTATCTAGCAGTGGATTTAAGAGTTGTACTTTTACCTTGCTTCTCTTAATGCATGTATGTTCAACTTCTTTCGCACCGTTCGCGGTCAGCCGTGCTTGACACATGGCATTTAAGCACTGCAGAATATAATTACACGTACTCGGATTGCCATTTTGCAATTTGCACATGTATCGAGTTCACATGCCCCAGCAGCCACATTTGGCTGCTACACTTGAAGGTATGTTCTTGAAAAAAACCGACTACCCATTATACATACATGCTCGATAAGCTATTTTGCCTTAATAAAACCACACCACAACTTGTAGTCGTTGCTAGTGCATCATTTCCCCCCACAATTGGCACCGTGTTTCCCTGGGGTCAGTGCCATGGCCCTATCGGCAGCACGTTGGCCGCTTGAGAAGGTTCATGGTTCGAATCCAGCAGCTGCCCTCTTGGGTGATTATCGCTGGTGTTATCACCGTTAACGGTGGACGTTAAAGATGACGGTGACGTTATGCATATCAGTAGGCCACAGTGATGTGGTGCCATGGTCCAAATGTTATTTGGGCTGTGTATATAGCAACCATTGCCCGCTCACCCCCCGCCGACCCATCCACCCCACCAACCTCCCCCACCCCACCGGCGACCCCTTCCCCACCCTACAGTCAAAACTTGGCAGGATCCTCCTGACAGTCATGAGGCTCTCCTGGGTAAAGGAGCACAATGATGGTAATACGATTAATAATTCACTCATTGCATCTGCTTAATTTAGCAAATGTCAACAATACCCTGCTTAGCGGATAATGATCACGTGTGGGTTATGAAGTTTTTCCAGGACAATGTTTACACGCAAATTGTGACCGTGGATTGCAGCAATTTTGGGTGGGGGGGGGGGGGGCAGCAAATCATGACACTACTGTTTGAAGTCCAGTATTTTACCCTTGCTCTACCTGCATAGCCAGACTGAAACAAACCACACATCCCACCCGACTGTCATGAAAGAAAAATTGTCAGCCTATCGGTTTCAATTTTTGTAACCACGCTTTGTGCATCGGCAATCTATTGTCCAGCGTTGCACTGGCAATGAAAAAGCACGCTGGTGAAGAGCTTGTAATCCTCGTCATTTGCACACTGTTGCCTTAGCCAGCGATAAACGACACAAGTCACGTCATTGACACTTCTCAGCTGTGAGAGTTGACAGGAACGCTGCCCATCTACCCCCAGCAAATCTGATGCGATAATTTAGATTGCAAAGACCTTCCAAGTACAGTTACAAATGGAAAATATCCTTTCACAGCCCACTTTCCCCATCACAAAGTCGATTCTCCTCAGAGCGACCTATACATATATAATGCACAAGCATCCATTCGTCACCTTCTAGCTCACCAATGGTACATGGTGTGAAAAAAAAACCCCATAAAATGTTTTTCTTGGAGAGGAAAATTCCCGCAAAATTGTCACCTTCCAGTTCAACATTTTCCTTCAGGAAATCTCAAACCACAGTCCAATGCAAGCCAACAGGGGCCTCTAAAATACTCTGGAACAGCAACACCACGGTTTATTTGTAGAATCGTCCAGAAGCTCAGTACCCATTGATTATATTTTAAGCAGACGTTTGCTCACGAAGTCACCGCCCCCCCCGAAACGTCGCCTACACCCTGGCGACGTCGTTGCTCTTACCACGGAATCCTTCCACAAGAGCATGCGCAGGGAAAGTGGGGCGAGGCGAAGTTACATCCCGTGCAATCATAATACACGTTAAAGGGTGATAATAATAAGCGGTGACCGTGATGACCGTTGCAGGAATGAACTACTTGCACGAAGAAGCTCCAGTCAAGGTTATCCACAGGGATTTGAAATCTCGGAATGGTAGGTGATGGCGGCACACGTCATCTTTATTCTGTCAAGTGCACGTGTACACCGAATATTAAAATTTACTTCCAACCATGGGTGTACTTGCCAACACTCAATTCAAAATGCATACCGTTTATACGCATTTTAATTTTCTACATTTTTTTATCCCTCTTTTGCAGTTGTGATAAGTTCTGACAACATTCTCAAGGTAACAAACCGATTCATCCTGCGTTATTGTAAGTCTCAGATAATCTTATCTATTATACCTTCAAGTGCCGTTTGTTGCTGCTCATGTGGCATTTTGGGCCTTTAAGGGGCTTTGCTTGGCAACTGTGGTCTAAAAAAAAAATCCCATAACTAAAAGTATTTTTTTTTTGTCAAGAGTCAAAGTAAATGCAAACGTAAAAACACAACCTAACACGTGCCGACACCACTTGTTCTCAGATGCACCGTCCAATGGTGACCATGTACTTGAATTTTCCTTTTATACACAGCTCCTAGCCCTCCTTAGCCAATGGGAGAGGAGGTTCACCTTAAGCCATTACACCTGGCTGTCTACTTAATTAATCCAAAGTAGGACTGTGCAATAGGTTGCAATCAGCTGCGTGATTTGAAGAGCATGCAAAATTGACCAATGGTGAGCAAGCAATCAATCACCTGCTGGGGAAATGAGTCATACCCCCTGCACACGTGCAAGTCCCACCAATCGCGAGCGAGGTGGTAATTCTGCCGCCCCTAATGAGTGATCATCGATTTTCCCACACGTGCACGTTAAGCCAATCCACAGTTCAGTCACAATTGCCATGCATTCGTCTTTTGCCAATGGGTGTTCTGACAGCTAGACAATTCTCAATCATGGCAGTCATTCCATTGTCAGCATGGTAGTCAACCTAGCTCCTGCACCACGTCACAGACCATACTTCACCATTACAGACCATACTTCACCACACAGGTTCGTGTGCGTTGGTGAAGAGAGCACCTTTGTGTGAGCTCACACCGAGTACCTGACCGACAGGGGGGGGCCCTATTCAGCATACCTCCACAGGTCTGCAAGGCTTGCAAGCCTCTTAGCCACGTCAAAGCAGTGCCCCAATGAATAAACGTTAACAATTGCATGACATGAATTCACATGTCATATCATGTTGTTCCTGTCATTTCCAGTAACATTCAAAAGATGCGGTTTGCACCTAGCATTTACCCGCGTAAGATAATTTCACGGTCAAATGACGTTGCGTACTCAATGCGGCGACGACCGTCCCTGTCCGCCCCCCCCTCCCCCCGCCCAGATCTGCGATTTTGGCGCGTCGCGCCTGCACTCGCACACCACCCACATGAGCCTGGTGGGCACCTTCCCCTGGATGGCGCCCGAGGTCATCCAGAGCCTGCCCGTGTCCGAGACGTGCGACGCATTCTCCTTCGGAGTTGTAAGTGCAACCCCTGGGGGATAGGAGTCGGGATTGACGTTGGCATCTCAAGGAGTTGTGGCTCGGTGGCGATAACTCCACTCCGTTGGTCTTCGAGCAGGGGGAGACCGGGGGAGATGGAGGGGTTGTTAATTTCGGTGTTCTGGCATTATTGAAAATTGCACACAAATTTGTGTTATTTTAAGTACGATTATCGGTTTAACACAAACTTCATCGACCTGCGCTGACCAGCGTGATGAAGTTTCAAATATCCCCCATGATGGACAATGGGTGGTGGAAGCCTTCATAGTGGATTGACCAAAGGCTGTGAAACATTTGTGAGATGGAATGGATTCATATGGCCACCCCTCCAGCCACTCAAGGCCACTACATTCACCACGGTGTAAAAGAAAATCCGGCTGTATTTCTTCAATCAAATCTAAACCCTAATTCACGACAACCCATTGAATCTATGGGAGCTGCATCATTACATTTTTAATGTATACCCAGGCGGTAAGGCATCTTGGACTAGTATGTGGACTAAATCTGCAACACGAATGTGATTCTCTATACAGCAAGACCTCGTTTAACACGGTGCGCGTTCTGCGTTCCGACGATGCGCGTTCCACGTTGGAACGGTGCGCGTTCCACCTTCCTGACGATGCGTAATCTGCATTGGAACGGTGTGTGTTCCGTATTACGACGGTGCGTGTTATAATAGTGCGCGTTCCGCATTCGACGATGCGCGTTCCACATTGTGGCAGTGCGCGTTCCGCGTTACGACGGTGCGCGTTACACGGTGCGCATTCCGCATTACGACGATGCACGTTCCGCGTGGGAACAGTGCGCGTTCCGCGTAACAATAGCGCATGTTCCGCGTTGTGTTCACTAATTGGAAGAACTGCGAAAGAGCGAAAAATGCGTGATAACGTGAACACCACACCTTCGGCGAGGACGTAGCGTGATGGTGAATTGTCTCGCGTGCCTGTCGCTATTTCTTCAGGTGCTGTGGGAGATGTTGACTCGGGAGGTCCCCTTCAACGGCCTGGAGGGTCTGCAGGTCGCCTGGCTGGTGGTGGAGAAGAACGAGGTAGAGCGATCGGGTCTAGTGGCCTCGCCGAACGTTGCTTTAACACTGCCACAACACTGGGGCTTAAGTCGAAGCGAGGGAAGTGTTGTGATGAGGATACGGATGTAGGTTGACATGGTGGCGATATGTTAACTACCTCGCCTGGTATGAACGAGGTCGTTGGTTTGAGCCCGACCCTGACGCCTATATATTTGGAGTTTGCATGTCTCTCCTCTCCGGGTCATGTGAATTTTTCTCCGGGTTCTCCGGTTTTTCCCTCTACATTTTGGCTGCTAGACATTTCCACATGATAGGCCACTTCGTTGAGCTATCATTTGTGGCAGCCAGATCGCTTAAAAATTGCTATACAGCTCAGTGGGCCTTACCTGGTAAAATTAAAAAAAAACATTGTTTAGTTTATAGTTTGGTAAGGCTGCATGATACATTGTTGTAACATACCAGAATCAGGATCTTCATTTATCCTAGATACATCCAATAAACTTTGTAAGCTCTTTTTCACAGATGTCCAGTCGGGGTGGGTTTATGAAGTTACAGCAGCAAACAATTACCATGCTTTGGATCCCCATTTTCACTTGGAAAGAACAAGTTCATATTTTTTGGTTGTTTAGTGGTTGTAAAGAAGTGACCGGGAGTAGAAAAAATGTTGACATTGCCACTTTGAACGTGAATGTAATTAAGTCTGGTTGGGTCTAAGCTGAGAGTTTAAAACAGGGGTGGGGAACGTCCGGCCCGCGTGCCGGATAAGGCCCGCGAAATCATTTGGTCTGGCCCTGCTAAGGCAACCGCAGGCGGGACTCGAAATTCAACAAATCTAGGAGCAAACCTGGAAAAGCAGTTGCGAGTAGCAACATCATCAATACCAGCTAACATCACACCCCTCACCAAAGAGAAGCAGTTCCAGCCATCACATTAGGGGTGAGTTAATTAAATGTTTGACCAAATATAACGGGCTAATTTTTAAGTTGATAATTTTGTATGGCCTGCGAATTATGTTATAATTATCAAAATGGCCCTTGGCAGAAAAAGGTTCCCCACCCCTGCTTTAAAACATCGAATGCATTCGTTAATATTTGATATATTCAGATCCCGCTCAAGCCTGGATAGTGCATCAGATTGGTGACAACCAAGTCTCATAGGCTGTGGGAACTACATTATGAGCAGAAGTACGACTATGCACATTGTTGTACTGTACTCCTTTATTGCAACGTTCAAGCTCCCGGCCTTTTACCAACCCACAATGACCAGGGTGAAGTAAGGTCAAACAGCCCCTTAACCCACTAGTGCAATGACAAAGGGCTGTATTTATGCTGCATACTGATTATAGACCAGTGTTCTTCGCTAATTTTCAGAGGCGGCCACTTTTGCCGATAAGACATCATCAGTGTGAGGGCCGCCACGCTTTTGAAACCATTGGGGTTTGACAGCATGATGATGATGGGGGGTGTTTTCACTGGCGGAGCCAGTGCGGGGGGGGGTGGGGTGGCACATGCCCCCCAATGATCTGATCGAAATTAGGGATTTCGATCGGATCATTGGTGTTTATTTAGTAACAAATTGGCATTTTGCGACCCCCACTGCCACTGTGTAGCATATTATTACGTGCCAGGGACTCTACGAGATGATAGGACAATAGTCCCAGTCCATAATTGGCAATAAGTAACGGCACAGCAGTTATAAGTGACTCAGAATTGTGCGCAGTTGCGTATACAGTACTCGAGTTCCCTGAAGACATACCTTCAGCGAGCGCGATGCCGATCACACACGGTTCGAATTCGACCCTCGATCGATGGCTGTGCCATCGCCGCACACGCGTCGAATAAAAGCAAGGAACAAGTCCTTACTAACATCTCCTATCATTTTTCATTGCTGGAGGGGTTGCTCCCCTACCTGAAAATCCTGGCTCCGCCATTGCGTGTTTTCACATTTGTGTATTGTCGGGGGCCGCAAGTTAGGGCCTGCGGGCCTTGCAATGAATAACACTGCTATAAACGATAACGGCTGTGCTCCACTTGCCCCTGATATGTCCGATACATTCCCTTCCGCATGGTGTTCCTTTGTTCAGAGGCTGACCATACCCAGCAGCTGCCCGCCTAGCTTTGCAAACCTCATGAAGGAGTGCTGGGAGACCGATCCAAAGGTAAGCCTCACTGAGTCAAGTCACACGTGTGTGTGCATGTGTGTGCCTGTGATAATATGAACGAATAGGATTTGCGTGCGGTGAGTTCTTAAATATTGAAACAGCATCTCAAAATTCTTCACAACACATATGAGAATGACCTGTTTAAAGCGGTGTAAGGTATAGGGTGAGGAGATGGGGGGCGAGCAGTGACCTGAGTTCAATCCCCGGCCACGGTTGACATCAGTGGTGGAGGTTATCTGAATTGGTCCTGGACCGCCACCCTTCACAAACCCGCGCCGACTGGCCACGGTGACGTATTGGTCAGTTGACGCGGTGTGCGCGGAAGGGATTGGCAACAGTGGTGTGAATTATGAAATGAGATAAATACAAATTATATTATGGAGTGTGTCCACACTCCTTTTTAAATATTCCTTAAGAACCTAGTAGAGCGATGTCAGCCAAGCCGGTGTTTAAAAACTATATTTGCCAGCTCCACTCTTGAGTTAAGTGGATGCATTTCCTCCGTGCACCTCCCTTCTGCAGAAGAGACCCACCTTTAAGAAAATCCTGCAGATGCTGAACTCCATGGAGCATGACACCCTCCTCTCCAGCCTCTGCAACTCCTTTCTGCACAACAAGGCAGTCTGGAGGTGTGTGTGTGTGCGATCGACGCAGTCGGGGCACAGTCGGTGCATCTGCCAGTCATCTGAGTCAGTCAATCCATGGCACCTGGATCTGTCCTGTGACCTGTCAGCAAGCCTTCGACACTTCACATGGCCTCAGAGTGCACCTCGCGTGGCTCAAGTGCCATGGTGACGTCACCGCCACTTAGTGTTGAACGGCGTCTGTTGTTGTTGCGGTCGACACATGCTAAGTGGCCAAATGTGGTCAACGATGCTTCTTATTTATGCTTCTTATTTACGTAGTTTATTGTAAAAAAATTCAGTCATAGTCCCTATGATCACTGTTACATTGCAATTATGGCTTTATTTTTTGGTGATTTCGAAAAGTTTTTTGCTTTGGACATGTTTGTTTTGTTGTAGTGCGGAGTTAGACTGATAGCCTTAATCTAAGTTTTCTTGTGGTTGTTGTTTGATTTGCATCCCACTGGGATTTTTGCACACAGCGTTGGTGTACGGTGCTTTTTCAGGAATATTTTGCTGTTTTTTTCATGGATTTTCTGTTTGCATATGTCACATAGTTTAAGATGTTTTTCCTTGTTCGTGTTTTTGTTTTTTGTTTGTTGTGGTTGCACCCGATTCAAGAGCCGAATGGCTCACAGGGCTATACCAAATAAATAAACTGAAAAAAAAAAACTTACTACGCCCGAGAGGTCATGTAAGTAAAAGGATTTGCATGCATAACGCGCTCGCTTAAATGCCTCAGCGTCTCAAAGTGCCTTCCGTCACACGGCATCTTGTCTCAACCAAACCAGTGCCCTGCGGTCGTCTGTCCAGGGGACCCCCGGTAGCAGCGATCCCTATGCAGTACGAGGCGTACACACACCGTCATCTATAGTGAATAAGTCACGTGTGCTCGTGTCATAGACCATGACACGAGCACACGTGGCTTATTCCTTTTACAATAACGTTACGGGATCTTTAACATCCACTGTGACGCAGGCTGTGCGCAGTATTTTTTTGGTTAACACGCCCGCCAGCATCAATCAGGAAGGCCACGAGGCTTGAAACACGCGAACCTGCGCAACGCGGCAGCGGCCGCTTGACCGCCCGGCCGCCGTTCACTGTTCGCCACGCGTAATTTGTGTCCCCGCGGTGACGCCGCTAATGCTGCCGCCGCCGCCGCTTTTGACTGCCCGCCTGCGCCGCCAACCAAAGGGTGGAGATAGAGGCGACGTTGGAGCGGCTCAAGAAGCTGGAGCGAGACCTGAGCAGCAAGGAGCAGGAGCTGCGGGATCGGGAGCGGCGCCTCAAGATGTGGGAGCAGAAGCTCAAAGACCAGGGCTCGTCCTACGTGAGTGCCGTGGGGGGAGGGATATGGAGAGGGCTCAACCCTCGACGGCAGCCCATACGGTGGGAATGAGCGTTGTTTCCACCGTTTCACTTAATGGGGGACTTACCTGTTCGTGACTAGTTGTGCCAAAGTTCGTTGAGAGATGCCAGGCTTGTTGTTTATTTTCTATTGAACCATTTTTAACAGTCGCAAACAGAGGACACGCGTAACTTGGGATGTTTTTGTAAATGTTTAAGTGTAATATGCTACCGTCAACTCTTCGTTAGCATTATCGCATTTTTATCTCTGATGCTGCTCGATGTGAACCATACATTCATTGTCAAATTAAGATGAATAAGCAGATGATACGCCTCCTTCACAACACATCTGTCTCTCCGCATAAAATATAAAAAGTGTTTTTTACACATCCCGTCAGCCACACCACCTTCTGAAAGTGCACAATGTCAGCAACATTGGCCATTTAATGAATATCCAATGAAAAGCAACTAATTGGTTTGTTATGCTTCGTGAAAGGTACACGTACTGCATATCGTGAATTGACGATAGAAAGATTATCGTTTACTGAAGTGGGTCACAGTTGCTATGCCAGGGTGAGGTGTGGACAAACCACTTGAAGTTCAAGGTTCACGCTGTTGTGTTTACAGACATCTACATCCTGTTCTCTTTACTCCTGGAGCGAAACGGATGTGGTGAGTAGAATTTTAATTGCCGGACCCCTGCGCACAGCCACTGCAGAGCACTTAGCTCGCACGTGGCGTTTATTGTGCGCGCACAGATGGCAGGGTTCTTAAATAAACATTTTTCGTGCTGGTGCTTTATTGTCATAAAGTGTGCTTTTTGGTTGTTTCCTGGTTTCTCGCAGGCCGACTGGATCCGCCAAATTAGTTGTAAGTGGAAAAATCACTCTGTTTCCTTCTTTGCCTCGTGTAAAAGCAATTCAGTCCTTGCATCAGCTCTTGTTAATGGGGATAAAAGAAAACCGTGCCATTGCTCTTTAATCTGACTAACCCTGTCAAGCGCAGTTTATCTTGTTATTGATAGCTCAAAAAAACTTGAGATGCTCCACAAAAGAAAGGTGCGCACCATTTATACTTTGTCGTAGTTGTAAGTAGTAATTTTAAAATCGGCGATTAAGGTATTGATGCTGCCATGCACACATCGGCCTGCTTTTTTGCACATGGTGAAGGTGAACTCAAACGCAAATCAAAGAGCACTGAACGCACGAAGCGCTTTTCACAAATGAACCACACAATCGCTCGCTGATCTTGTCACGGAGCATAAACCATCATCATGCGAACTCCGGTCATCCTCGCAGCGACGGCTTTTGGCTGCTGGCCATCAACCAAAGACAGTCACTGCATTGCGCGTTTTCAGATCCGCTTCGGCGGCCGTCTGGAACGCTCTTCCGATATTAGGAAGCCACTGGAGCTATCTATTTTAAAATCTAGATTGAATACTCATTTATTTAGAGCTGCTTTTTGTGTTTCATTTGTTGTCTTCCCCTCACCTCCGATTAGCATGGTTGGCCACTTTCTGCACGATAGAAGTTCAACATACAAAGGAAATTAAATGAATGAGAATGCACTCATGTCTGATTTGGTCCAGTAGAGGGCACGCTTGCGTTGATGCCGGCCGTCGCTCAGGATCATGAGCGTTCCTACCGTGTGTGCGTGAGCTGGCCGAGCCGCTCAGTTCAGAGCGCTAAGCTGGAAACCGATGATATATCATTCTAGGTTTAAATCCGGGCATCCGCCGTCTGGAGTACCGCGTTCTCAAACGTAGTGAGTCTGTAGTTTCAGCACAGTCACCAAAGGCTGCGCTAAAAAATTGGTTCTGCACTTTAATTTGGCTTATTTCAAGTTCTAAGAATTACAATATTTGTGTTGACTGCCATGAGATATATTGTTTATGAAGTGTTATGCAGAGTGGATGGCAAAGTGCTAGTCCTCTTCTTTGTGGACCAGAGAGGACTTGGAGGTATCTCAGAAGTAGCTCCGTAGTGTCCGCTTCCGTGGGCCGTTCAAGAAGACGAAGGGGTCGCGCCGCTCTTGGACAGACACTTCGTCTGGCCGAGTGACGCAGATAGCACGCTTGGGATAAAGTTGGGTCGGAAACAACCACGAAAGTAGAAAAAATCCAACCACAAACACACCGTGTGTACGCCGTGCGTGTTTAGCGGAGGCGAACGGAGACCTTGCGGTGTATGCGGAGCTCTTCCAGCAGCAGCACATCACGGGACAGAGGCTGCTGCTGCTGGAGGACAGTGACTTCCTCGCCATGGGCGTCAAGTCGCGTGGCCACATCCTGCACCTCAAGGTGACCGTCCCCCCCACCCCACTCCACTGCAGTGCTCGTGACCCCTCGTGACCCTCTCGCGACCCCCGCGACCCCCTCATCCCCACCCCCCGTAGTGAATGCTGGCTGCTATTCTCACGCGATGCTATCTTACTCCTGCCGCTTTTGCCGTAATACCCTGATTTACGTCTTCCCCCTTTCACGTCGTTTCGCAAATATGTCGTCACTTTATTATTAACACCTCTACCCGATTAGCGTCACCTCAACCCCACACGTCTCTGACAGCGTCGTCCGTCAATTCTCGTATCCGTGACCTCTCTGCCTTCGCCTCCTCCTACCCTCTAAATCGCTTTGACGTCATTTCGATATTCGATCACATTGCTGTGATCGTCATCGTTGTGTATTCACATTTTGAATATGCTACACTATTAAACATCACGTTGTAAGAGAGAGATTATTTTTACGAGATCCCACACCTTAGAGCCAAACCTGCCCCTTCCTGACATTCACGCTGATGGCGCGATGCACTTTGTGTGATTGTGTGATTTTAATTAAAGGGTATATGTAAAGGTTTTCTTCCATCATTGTAGAATTACAATTAGCTGTTTTTTTTTTAAATCTGGGTCGATAAAACTGCAGAAGGCTGTTGGGAACAATTGATGTCAGTGAGTCGCACCTGGAAAGGTCGGCGCGACACACGAGGGAGGGTGGGGGGCCAGCACCACACTTGGCCACCTTTGTCGCTCAAGTGCTGATATCTATATAAAGACCTTCATCTGTATGTACGTCTCAAAAACCTCTAGGGTACTTCCCGGCAAGGTATAACGCTGACATTTGGTACATAGGTAGCTTTTCAGACTCAAACAACAGGAAACATCTGAAAATCCATTATTTTTTTATTTTAAGGCCCCCAAAATCTCGATTTAAGTGCCCGATAAACATGTTGTGCATGTCATTCAGAAACCGTTCAAAATATAAGATTGTGGTTTTTTATCGTTTGATAAAGCGTTAAAACAGCAATAACATTCAAGCGAGAACCATTGTTCTATCTTTTATTACTCCTTGGTTCTTTCGGTAAAGTCACGTAGGTATAAAAATAAAAAAAATTAATTACGACGTTTCGGGCACAACATGAGCGTCCGTCATCAGGTGGGACAACCACAGCAAGAAACAATTGCTGAAGTGGGCAAAAGAGCTGCTGTAACAAGAGGCTATATGGGTAAGAGAGGAGGGGAGGAGCCAGGGAAGAGTGCAAGCGAAGACACCTGCATGACAAAAATGCCGGAGTAGGAGGGGAAGTGAGTGGGGCTGGGAGTGGGAAGCTGAAGAAACTGGAGATGCGGATATGAAGGCAAACTATAAAGCAGTTAACGTTGTACCTGGTTAATAACATCCAATGATTGCTCAATTTGTATCCATCTTCCCGGTTGAAGTTATGTCTATGTTTATATATCTGGATGGCTTCATGAACAAACCTTTGATAGTAGCCTGAAGGTTTTCAGAGTACCTTGGTCTCGGAAAAAAACAATATCATGCGAGCCCACAGCATTATAAGTGGTCAGCCATGGCGGATGTATTAGTTCTGCTGTGTTTCAGGTCTGCCTTGTGTTCGCGAACACGGTCCGAGATATGTCGTTTCGTTTCCCCAATGTAACAGCCACCACGGGTGCAACTTAGTTTGTAGACTCCAGGATATTGCATGTCAGGAGTGACATCCTTCACAGATGGGATTAGATCACGGATTTTGTGTACTGTATTGAATCGGACCTGGATCTTGTGTTTGTTTAAGATTTTGGAAATCTTTTTGGTAACACCTGCTATGTATCGTAACGTGATGGTTTTAATCGGCATCTCAGAGGCTTGTTTCTCCATGGTTGGAGAAACAGCTTTGCGAATAATGCGGTCCGAGTACCTATTCATCTTGAGGGCCTGGTGTATGTGTTCCAGTTCACTGGCTAGGTGGTGTTGGTCAGTAATGCAGTGGGCCCTATGGTGTAGTGTTTTGATAAGGGAATTCTTCTGTGCCGGGTGGTGGTGGGAATCAGGTTTTAGATAGGAATCTGTGTGGGTGGCTTTCCTGTAGACAGTGTCCCAACGAGCCGTCAGGCCTCTTCTCAAACAAAACATCCAGGAATGGTAGCTTGCTATACTTCTCCACTTCCATGGTGAATTTGATGGATGGGTGTATGGAATTAATGTGGTTGAGAAATTGGTTCAATGCTGGCAGGCCATGTGGCCAAATGACGAAAGTGTCATCTACATATCTCTTCCACGTAGGGTGTCTGGATGGCATCTGTTTCAAATTTCCCCATGAAAACATTCGTGATCACTGGTGATAAGGGGAACCCATGGGGGGTACCTTCATTTTGTTTGTAGAAGTACCATTTCAGGTGAAGTAAGTGTTGGTAAGGCAGTGCCTAACCAGAGTAGGAACATCAGGGTTCAGTCCCTGTTGCACTAAATCTTCAATTATTGTTAAGGTGTCAGGCACAGGAACCTTGGTGAACAGAGAAACTACATCAAAGTTGACGAGAAAATCATCCGGGGACAGTGAAATGTCCTTGATTAGAGAGACCAAGTGAGCTGAATTATGTACTGCTGAGGTAGTCTTGCCAGTGAATGGAAGCAAGGTATCAGACAGAAAGCGGGCTTAAAGCAGTTTTTAACGGAAAAAATATGCATTTTATGATGTTCAAATCTGAATAATTCGAAAACGGTAAAAGATAGGAGCTTCCCCTCAAAGAGTTTTACGTGAATAAATATTTGTTCTTTTTAATAAAAAAACACACAATCTTTAAATTCAGTGGTTTCTGATGGGTAAGTTTTTAAATATAAGAAGTTGAATCAAGTCGTCAACAATTTGTTTTCTTTCGTGTAAAAAAAAATGGTGGAGTAGTTTGTGTCTAATCATAGATAATTGTACCATTAATATTTCTATTTAAAATTTTTAATTAAAAGATACTATTTAAAAAAAAATGTAATACAGCTCTCACTACATGGAACATGTATGCAATGCAATATATAGTACTCAGATTTATTTAGTAGAATGTTACTTTTGTATTTAAAATGTTTTGGTACAAATCTTTATTGACTGAAATTTGACGATAACAACTAATACAATTTTGATTTATTTTTTTATTTTGCCTGGCAAAGACAGGCTTTATGAACTAGTATATATTCACACACTGCACTAGATTCTCATTTAAGGCTGAGTCGACCGAGAGGAGGCCCACGATCAACGGTTCAAACATTCCGTCACTGTTATTGGCAGCGAGCGGGAATCATACCCGGGTCGCCGGGTTCGCAGCGCAGTGCGATAACCATTGCGCCGCCACTCCCCGTCACGCATAAATCTACACGCACACGCCGACATGCTGGGTGGTGTGAAGGTTTCATCACACGAGCATCATCTGTCCAAACCTCCGCGTGTTGGCAACGCATGTGTGTGCCAAGATTTAAGTCCCAGGCGGTCACCGAAATCTCCGCACCTCCGATTAGCGTGGTTGGCTGTGTACGGTGTGAAAGAAGTTAAACATACAGTATGCACATAAAACATGACGGGTGTGACTTTCACACGCATCAGTCATGCGCTGTTGAAGATTGCTCAAAAAGCTTTTTGATAAAAAAAACGTAATCGGAAAGTACTATGTGGCCAACCTTTCAACCATGCAGTTCAAACAGCTGTCTTAATATAATTAGTTAATTATGCATGACACCGTTATTGATACCCTATATTTTTGTCCTCACAGAAAGCAATCGGGAAGCTCTACCAGAAATTCATGGACCTGGTTCATTTCCCACCTCTCATGCAGGTAAGGACACGCATGCTGTTATACACTCTCAATAACTATGGTAATTAAACTGCCAGGCATGGACGATGCATATGCCTTGCTTGCTCATTTGACTGATGTCACCCGTTGGAAACTTTGTTCGCAGGAGCTTGAACCCGTCTCTCCTCCCGATTCCAGCGAGGAAGAGGTCACCTTGGAACTTGTCATTGGCTACCACATCATCCCAGGAAAAACACTGCAGGTGCATCTCCTATCCGGTGTTTTGCAATGAAACGTTAACATTATAACAGCCATCGATTGGTTGACTCATCCAACCAAGCAGGGTCGCCGCCCTCCGTTCTCTCGCTCTGAAGAAGCGACCACACGCTTACGCTCGCATTGCACTCCTCGGCTGCTCATCCAAGCAGCGCCAGGCGCCCCTTTGCCACCGCCGCACGGAAGACGTGGCCTCGTCGCGGGGCGGCTGGCCTCGTCTCACAATCGCCGCAGCACCTTTTGGTTAACCGTTGAAACAAAGGCGGTCATCGCATTGCACGCTTTCAGATGCGCTTCTGCGGCCGTTCGGAACGCTCTCTCCTTCCTATGTCAGGAAGCTACTGGAGCCATGCACTTTTAAATCATTTAGATTGAAAAGTAATTTCCTTAGAACTCCTTTTTCTGTCGAGTTTGTTGTCCTTCCCCCCGCACCTCCGATTAACGCGGTTGGCTACGTGCGGCGCGAAAGAAGTTCAACGTACGTACATACACACACGCAATCATCCCTCGCACCTGTTTCCCCCCCTCCATCCCTCCTGCAGCAAATTGAACCCGTTTCTCGCGCATCATCCGACTAGATGACAACCTGCCCGCCGTCCTTGGGCTGGCGCCACCGCACGCCGAGATTAACGCAGCAGGCCACCCGCGGCACTCGCTTTCTCCCCACCACCACCCCACCCCTCCTCAAACATTCCGGCCGCCACTGACTCGCTCGTACACACGATTCGTACTCGTGCGTGGGCCTGCCTTTTGTTGGGAGGCGAGCAGCTGTTTTTTTTTTTGGAGGCTTGCGCACCTCTTAAGAGTGGGGGGGGGGGGCACTCTCCCCCCCCCCCCTTTCCAGCATTGTGATGGTGACAGGGAGATGGCTCTCTCGGAGTGGGGTCGCGTAATTGCCCCCCATTTGTGTCGCCGCTCGCCCGGGGAGGTTGGCGCGCCCGTGGCGACGCTTTGGAAGCGGGTTTCTAATTATTGTTCTGCTTTTTTTTCCTTCTCTCTCGCTCTCTTCTTTTTTTAAAAATAAAATTAAAGCAAAAAAAAACGAAATAGGCAGCAGGTTGTTAACAGTTCAGTAAGTTTGTTCACTGGCACAGCAGGTGGAAATGCGTGGGCCGTGCAAGTAAAAAAAAAAAATTATGGAGATTTATTTATTTATTTTAAATAAATAAATATAAAGGGGGGAGTGGAAATGTAGCTGATCGTTACAGTCGTGTGAATCTGTGCAGAGGAATAACATTTTCTTCATGCATTGATTTTATGCATGGAATTAAACGTGCATGAATCCTATTTTTACAAATGAGAGCGGTTGTCATTATGTCTTGCAGAGGTACCGTGATTGGAGATTCAATGAGTTGTTGCAATTCATCACAATTAGATTCAAGAGTACATTTTTACATTTTGGTGAACCCATTACATTACACGCAACATATATACGAAGCGAAAAACACTGCTTCTTACGCCACGATTTTCCGAATCAATATTAAATGATGGATCCACCATCGTTTAATAACGATAATAATTTGGATTTATAAGGCACCCTTGAAAATGGAGCTCAGAGCGCCATGCATGTTAAGGAGGAAGGAATAAGTGACAAGTAATCAGGGAGAGAGGCTAAACAGACTAGATAGAGAACTAGAGAGAGGGGCCTTGCTAAACGGGTGGTGGGGTCTTCAGCCGGGATTTAAAAGTCTCTATTAACTGCCAGTTCCTGACCTCCAATGGCCCGGGGAATTCCCAATTCCTGCCCGTCGTGCAAACAAAAAGTTTCTGCCTGCATTGCGTATGACACGAATAGGATTTTTAAATAGTTTTGGCAGGTCACACATTAACACACACCTTAGACATCTCTGTCACTACAAAAGCCGCTTGCAGTGGCAGAATTGACTGAGCTCACTAAAATTGTGTTTGGCAGGTTGTAAATATTCCCTGATAGTAGCCAATTAGTGCTGCTAAGATGCTTGCAGCGATCTGACAAAGACAATTTTAATTGGCAGTAGGTTGTTCGCAGTTCAGGAAGTTATTTCACTCTCATCACCGGCATCTCGTGACGGACAACTTACTGTTTGCGGGCCGGTTGGAAGCGGTTTGGCGGCCTCATGTGGCGACCGTAGGCGGGATATAGCGAAGTATCCAGGCTATATCTGGATTGTGGGTTGTAGGATTGCCCCACCCTCCCTAGTCTACGGTAACAAACCGTGCTCATGTGTCACAGGACTGCAAGTGGAAGATGTACATGGAGGTCGATGGCGATGACACCTTCATCAAGGAAGTGAATTTCCACCTCTCGGCGCCTGCGTCGAACACTATCAAACTCTCGCAGGTGAATCGATGCGCGCAGAGTGAGTAAGGGGAAAATCTGCACGTTCGGAACATTCGTGCACACGTATGTATTTATGGAATGCTTTCCAACAACCGTGTGCCCCAGGAAGTATCTGATCATCGGTACGGATGCCGAACGGGTAGGTGTCAGGGGCAAAGCTTGTTTGCAGATTTACTAACAGTCCTTTTTGCATGGTCTTTGTATTTCAGAGTTTGACCAAATTGGCTGATTTTAAATGCCTTGTGTGTTAAACTGTGTGTACCCTTGATATTTAAAGATGGCAATTCTCCTGCTGTGTATCCTACTGCTATCCCTCCCGGCCATATCTAGTGCCATACTCAACTCTATCACCGGCAACCCTCGTTACTTCTCGTCCATACTTGTTGCTCAATGTGCCACTACACCTGCTAATGAAACAGCTTATAGACACTTCTACACTCCATCATTGTATCCTTTTAAACCCTATCTCTGTCCCATTACTTCACCAGCACTCCTTCCAAACTTCATTCTGCTCTTAAAAATATTGCCATCTGCGAGCTGCTGCTATTCGTCCAAGGTTCGCCGCTCTTCATCCTTTCACAGAAAATCCCTGTGCAAACTATTAATTCTACTTTTCTTATTTCTAGGAGGTATTGAGCTTCATCCTGGCCCAAATGTAAAGAACTCGTATAATTCTGTAGATTTTTCTGGCTGAAAAGGTGTTGGTGTTCTACAGGTCAACATCAGAGGGCTTGTGATTAAATTAAGTCAACTAAAACTAGAAGTGGAAAATCTGGACCCGGACATTTTTTTGCCTAACAGAAACATTTCTCACTCCTGCCGTAAATGACTTGTAGATTACGATTGACAACTACAACCTTTTTCGGCTAGACCAAGGGTCTAAAAGAGGTGGAATTGCCATCTATGTTCGTAATACTATTGCATGTTAACCAGCTCACTCTTTGTTAAAAGAATGTTGCTTTGAAGGTCTGGCTCTCAGAATAACTCTCCCAAATAATCAATATATTGGTAGTGTGCTACTATAGACCGCCGAGTGGTAAGGATGTTGAAGCTGCGTCTGCACTGAGAGAGCTTCTTGGGGGCCTCCCTAAAGGTGAAATAGTTTTAGTTGGTGATCTAAATTGGAATTGGCTAAACCCGCTGGCCATGGCCACAAATTTTGCAGATGAATTTAACCTATTTCAATTAATAAATGTCCCCACAAGACCCAACCTAAAAAATCTGGGACAGTCATCTCTGCTTGAAGTCCTATTGACAAATGCCCCTCACAATTTCACACTGACTGGTGTTCTGGGTAATAACCTTAGTGATCACTCCTTCATATTTGGGGTGAGATCATCAGCCAGACCCAAGGCCCCCCCTTAATTGGTTGAGAAGCACTCCATGAGACACTTCAGCATACAGGCATTTACTAATGATGTGCTTCACTTGGATATTGACAAGGTATGTGATATCCCCAACCTGACTACGGCTTGGGAGACCTTCAGGTACACATTTCTCCAAATTCTTAACAAACATGCTCCGTTGGTTAGATTTAAAATGAAAGGCAACCGCCCACCATGGTTTGATCCTTTGATTACTAAGCTCATGAAAACTAGGGACAAGGCTTGGGCATGTGCTCAGAAAAGTAATTTGGTCAATGACTGGCTAAAATACAGGATGTTAGGGAATAGATGCGTCAAAAAAATGCGGCATGCAAAAAATGCTTACTTTTCCTCCGCTCTCCTGGAATCACATGGCAATGCCAGGATCTTCTGGAAAACAATCAAATGTATCAAAAAGGCATCCAACACAGATAATCTGCCCATTGCGCTTAACCGAAATGGGGACTTTTTCAGAGCCCCAAAAAGTAGTCGATAATTTTTACATTCATTTTTCTGAAGCTGGTGACCTTTTTGATAATGTATTGGGAGTCACCCCTGCTCATGCAATTTCCTACATCCCTGTCCAAATATTAAACGAATTTAGTTTCCAGCCTATCCACGAAAGTAATGTTCTAAAACAACTGTCCTACCTCAAAGGGTCCTGCTCTACCGGAGCGGATAGTATTCCCGTCTTTGCTCTGCTAACTGTTGGTCACCTAATATACAAACCTATAGCCCACATTTTTAATCTGTCCATCAAAGAAGCATCAGTACCTCTAGAATGGAAACATTCTTATGTTCGTCCACTTCACAAAGGGTGCCCTAAAGATGATCCAAATAACTACCGACCTATCTACATTTTGTCCCCATTGATGAAAATTTTTGAAAAATTATTGAGCTACCAAATTAGTAGTTTCCTGTCCGACAATCTATTACATCGAAACCAATCTGCGCTCCGAAAAACAGCACCACATCTGCTGAATTAGACTCTCTGAATCATATTTACAGTAGCCTTGATAATAAGCAGTACTGCACCAGTCCATTCTTTTTGGCTTGTCCAAAGCCTTTGATACAGTGGACCACAACACCCTGCTTAGTAAACTATGTTGCCTCCGTTTCTCCAAACACGCAGTAGAATGGTTAAAAAATTACCTCTCTTCTCGCACCTAAACTGTATTAACAGATGGTTGGAGGTCAAACAGTGTTAAGATAACAAAAGGGGTTCCACAGGGTTCCATCCTCGGCCCCCTCTTGTTCTCTCTTTATGTCAATGACTTGGGCACTGACCTGGATCATTCCAGGGTAAATCTGTGTGCAGATGACACGATTCTGATTACTGCTGGCTGCTCTCCGGATGACGTGATTGCTAAGCTCCAGGGTGATTTAAAAAAACTACAACATCAGCTAGTTGCTCTTAAACTAGTCCTGAATACCTCCAAAACCAAGGGGCTATGCTTCTCACCAGGACTAAAGCAGGAAGTTATTTTCCCCCAATTATATTCTGTAAATAATCATCAAATAGAGCAAGTCAAGATCTGTAAGTATCTTGGGGTCATCTTTGATTCAAACCTGAATTTTCAAGATCACATTGATTATATTGGTAAAAAGACAAAAGTAACAATTGGTTTTCTGTATCGACACAAGCACTGCTTCCCCCTATGTTCCGTTTGGAATTGATAATAGCTACCATACTGCCTCTACTTGATTACTGTGACATCGTGTATAAATCAGCCCCAGGTACTGTATTGAAGAAGCTTGATTCCATCTATCACTCGGCCTTAAGATTTGAATTTAACTGCCCATATAGTACTCACCACTGTGATCTCTACATTGGGTAAAACTTAACATCTCTTAATGTTGGACGGCCTGTGCATCAGATCTTATTTATTCACGATGTACTTACGAAAAAATCTGGAGGAAGGGCCTTTTCTATTGATGCCCCCAGGGTCTGGAATGCTATCGCCAATAAACTGCAACTTGGATCACTACCTGCGAGATCTTCACTCAAAACTGCTCGAGAGGAGTTGTACACCCCTAGCTGCAACTGCTATTCAGAATGGCCTGAAATTAAATTTATTATTCCGGATGACCACTGCAAAGTATGGTCTTGAGTTTTAATAATAGTGTGCTGATCATTAAAGGTGTATTGAAAAATGTAGATTCTGCTACTGATACTCCAGCTGTTATGGAGTGACTCATGCAGCCAATTATGGCTGAAAAGTTTGGTCGTACATGTCATGTATTTCGTTTATTGTTAAATTTGAATTACAGTTCCTATGATCACTGTTACATTGTTTTTATAGCTTTATTTTGGTGATTTTGAAAACGTTTTGGTTTAGCCATGTTTGTTTTTTGTAGTACAGAGTTAGCCTGATAACTTTAATCTACATTGTCTTATGGTTGTTATTGTTTGACTTGCATCCCACTGGGATTTTTTGCACACAGCTTTGAAATACGGTGTTTTTTTCTGGAAGACTTTGCTGTTTTTTTCAGGATTTTTCTGTTACGTGCAGTCACTTTAAGATGTTTCTTGTTCATGTTTTGGTTTTGTTGCGGTTGCACCCGAGTCAAGAGCCGCATGGCTCACAGGGCTATACCTAATAAATGAAACTGAAAACTGAATCACAAGGGAGAAACACAAACAAATAGACAAAACAATGTCTGTGCCCTTATTGAAACGGCTGTACGCCGTATGGACCTGAAAACTCAATTTTCCCTGCACAAGAATACGGAGTACACCGTCTGGGGTGACAGGTATACTAAACAGCGGGGTTGGGATATCTTTGTCTTTCGGTAAAGTCACGTTGAAGGGAAACAAAATAATAAAATATATATAAAACACTAAAAATTCTCACGACGTTTCGACCATAACACAAACGGTCGTCATCAGGTGTGTCGGTTTGCATTAATTAATTTATTTTTAAACGCTGTATTTATAAAAAACGTCAGCGCCACGCGCAGCGATTTGGCAGTTTATTTAGAAGGACTAGTCCATCTATGTTCTGAAAAGAGGAGGGGGGAGACGAAAAATTAATGTATGCTGTCTGAAAGCCACTGTAAGCGTGAACAATCAATTAAGACCTGAAATGGTTAATCAAATCTTTCCAATGATTGCTAAGCCAGAATCCATCTTCTCGGTTGAAATTGTCTCTGTGCTTGTATATGTGGATAGCCTCATGAACGAATCTCTCATGGTAGCCAGATGGCTTACAAAGAACCTCTGTCTTGGAAAAGTCAATGTCATGTGAGCCTACTGAATTATAACAATGATCTGCCACGGTCGAGGTGTTGGTCTTACCGTGTTTAAGGTCTGCTTTGTGTTCACGAATGCGGTCCGAGACATGGCGTTTGGTTTCTCCAATGTAACTACTACCACAGAGGCAACTTAGGATTTTATATTAATATACTTTAATATTATATAATAAATATAACTTCATGCTTAAATTTAATTCAAATTGGGTCACCTTTACTCTCACACTCTCCCCCACTCTCCATTATTAGAATGAACTATGAAGCTCTTTTTAACACATGTCCAATAGGGGCTGGTCAGAAAGTTACAACAACAAAAAAAACGACGGAAAGTCACTAAAGATAAACACATTCGCGACAGAAAAACAGCTAATTAGTTGAAAGCCTCTAACTTGAATTGTGAAGCATTACAAACCGTTCGTTTTTTAAATGTTCGTGTGCTTGACGCATTGCTGCGGATCGCCGCTGCATTTTCCCCAGCCACCGTTTGTGATGTCGAGATGGACCGTGGGTCTCGCCGAGGGCCAGACAGTGGAGTGTGTCGTCACCTACGCGGTACGTTTTGCAACGCCTCGCCGCCCATTTCGCCAAGGAGCATAAACCATCGCGCGAACTCCGGTCATGCTCCCAGCAGCAGCAGCAGCAACAGCGGCGGCGGCGGCTTTTAGCTAGCCATCGAAACAACGGTGCTTTTAAGATGCGCTTCTGTGACCGTCTGGAACGCCCTCCCTTCCGATATTAAGAAGCCACAGGGAGTGATGGACTTTTAAATCGTCTAGATTGAAAACTAATTTCTTTGCAGCTGCTTTTTGTGTTTCGTTTTTTGTCCTTCCCCAGCACCTCCAATTAGCAAATCACTCTCCCATATCTATTAATCCTATTATTTTACCGGGTAAGGCTCACTTAGCTATATACCTCTTTTTCAGAAGCGACCTGACCATCACAAATGATAGCTCAACAAAGCGGCTTATCACGAGGACATTTATAGCAGCCAAATACTCTAAACACGTTGATTCTAAATGTCGAGGGAAACACTGGAGGACCCGGAGAAAAAGCCACGCGACCACAGGGGGAGCATGCAAACTCCAAATATACAGCAGGCGTCAGGGTCGGGAGCTAACCCATGAGCTCCTGTATACCAGTCGAGGTAGTTAACATCTAACCACCTTGGGGCCCATCTAACCTCGCGGGAGCCCATTGAGTTTCGTTATATTCCTTACGCGCATTATGAAAGAAAGATTAGTCGCAGTACTTAGGGACGGCCATTAATTAGTTTTTATTTGTGGAACTTTAGCAGTTTATTGACAAAAGGGCTGTACACGTACACATGTGCACGGCACCTTTTGGAACTTCCAGTTTTCATGAATGCTTACTCGTTTCTTGCACTGTGTGGTTCTCCATTCATGCCGTTCCAGTGGTAGTGGTAGTGATGGTGTATGAGCGGTGGGACAGTGTTTAGCGCGCTGCCCTGCGAACCCAGATTCCCGCTCACAGCCAACATCAATCACGTATATTTATATGAACCGGTCCTAGTGGTGTGTAAACAACATCAGCAATTGGGAAGATAAAGGCTGCCGGGCACGTTGGTGGAAAGCTGTGCACCCCCTCCCTCGGGTGCCGTGCCGGCCTCAATAACAATAATAGGCAATCTAGATTTGAAGTTTTTGTGACTGCAGGGATCCATACTCTTTGGTTCTTTTGGTAAAGTCACGTAGGTATAAAAATAAAATAAATTAAATCACGACGTTTCAATTGCAACACAAGCAATCATCATCAGGTGGGAAAACCACAGCAAGAAATGTTTTTTTCTGAAGTGGGAGAGAGATACCGTGGTAAGAGGTTATATAGGTAAGAGAGGGGGGAAGAGCAAGGGAGGGGGGGGGAGCGTTACGTGGACGCTCGGAGAGGGAAACGTGAAGCTAGGATGGGGGGGAAGTGGGCGGTGCTGAGAGTGCTATTGATGAATGGGGGTGGGGGGGGGGTGGGGGGAGGACGCTTCAACAAAGTAGCAACAGTACCAATAAAGGCAACAACCCCCATGCAGCAGCAGTGCCAAACGCTAGGGATGTGGTTAACTCGGCAAAATAGATTAGTGCCCGGTAAATATGGTGGAACAACCATAAAGTATTTTAGATTTTACCTGGTTAATAACATCCTTCCAATGATTGCTTAATTTGTATCCATCTTCTCGTTTGAAGTTATGTCTATGTTTATATATCTGGATGGCTTCATGAACAAACCTTTGATAGTAGCCCGAAGGTTTGCAGAGCACCTTGGTCTCGGAAAAACAATATCATGAGAGCCCACAGCGTTATAGCAATGGTCAGCCACGGCGGAGGTATTAGTTCTTAGTTAATAATAGGCACACGCCATCAGAACTTGCCCCCAAACCAGTCCATTGGAGACTACGCTGGGGGGGTTATCTTTGTCTGTTGGCGGTGCAGGACAGCGTGCGGTCACCGGCGTACACGCGGCACGTGCACGCGGTGCGCGCGGGCGATGCCGCCGCCGCCGCGCCGCACATCGAGAGCGTCGCGCTGCGTGTAAAGCCGGCGCCGCCGAGCCGTGGCCGCAAGACTCCGTCGAGCCACAGCAGGCGCAGCTCCGGTGAGAGCCCACACCACTGCGTCCGGGAGTCGGAACTCGGTGCCACCGGGTTGACCTTTTTTCTCGTTCCGATGACGTGCGTGTACGTCATCACGCCACCGTGGGGCACCACTTTGGCGAGATGTTAACTACCTCGCCTGGTATACAGGAGGTCGCGGGTTCGATTCCGACCCTGGCGCCTGCTGTATATTTCGAGTTTGCATGTTCTCTTTCTCCCTCCCTGTGGTTGTGTCGATTTTTCTCCGGATCCTCCAGGTTTTTCCCTCTACATTTAGAATCAACATCACACGTATTTGGCTGCTATGAATTTCTACGTGATAAGCCACATAGTTGGGCTATCATTTGTGGCAAGGTGACTTCTGAAAAAGAGCTATATAGCTCAGTGGGCCTTACCTGGTAAAATAAAACACGGTTAATAGTACATACATGTACGTGTACATCATCAATTTTTCTCACGATTCCCGTTCCGACGATGTACGTGTACATTGTCAAAACAAAATCGGAATAAAAACAAAAATGAAATAACTTAATCGGTATCGAGGCTTCCGCAAGGCCATGTGGGGAGGGCGTGTGGCACAGTTTGGCGCCAGCTATCGTAGAGTGCGGTCGTGTCGCTGCAGGTCTCTGCGGTGAGTAACAATGACTTTAAAGGCAACGGCGCTACGCCTTTCTAAATAAAACCGCTTGCGCGTTCCAGGATTCGGAGGTGAACGGGACGCCCACCCTGCAACTTGCAGAAATCTCGGAACGGGAAAGAGTTAACAGCGCAGCGCACTAACCACTATGCGCCTGCTTCGGCTAAGGAATATAATTTTAACCGATTACTGTACATGCATCATTTAAATCTCTACGCTGTGTACATGAAAACTAATGTACATGTGGCTACGTTTCAACAAAATGTATTAAATACTTGAATATAAATTTTTATTAAATGAAGTCCATAGGCCGCTGGATGAAGGCCTCCCCACGCTGTGTGGGTCATAGGATATGTTTGACAATACTTCACACCGGTCAGTGAAGATTGCGGGCGATGTTTGACCGTACTTCACCACACTTGTGAAATTACATAACCACCTCGAGCCTGGGCCACGAGAACGTGGGTCGCAAGTCATTTACCTCTGCCGTATGCGTGTCTCCGCTACAGATTGCGTTCCCTCTCACACGTCCGTCTCCCTCTCTTGTCGCGCAGTGAGTCCACTGCCGGGCGCCCCGAGTGACCTGCACGGCTGCTGGAGAGACCGCTGGGAGAGGCACGCCGTCATGCCTCCCGGTATCGGCGGGAACCCACTCCCGTCGCCATCGCTCTCACCAGGTGAGCACCTGTCCCCATTGCTCTCAGTTTTACTTTGCCGTGGGAAAAGCGTGGAGGAGTAGTTTATGAAGTGCTGTGCTTTTCGAGATGTGTGACAGCCGAAAACAACGTGTCGCGCATGGGGGTCGCCGATCCAAAATCAGTCATCGGAGACTCGACTCCGCTTAGCTTCTGAAATGCGATGAGATCAGGCACGTTCTAGCTGATTTGGTCACGGGCAGCTGGCTTGTACGGTCTTAAACGAACGCACCGGAGAGCCGCAACAGCACGACCGCGTAACACCCACACGCGGTAGCGACGACGAACAAAGTGTTCGTCGTTTTCTGTGCCCCGGCAGTCGGGATTTTCCTGCCGTGCAGCGGGGCGATGTCGCCGCGCAGGAGCGGCAGCCCGGTGTGCATCACCCCGCACCTCGCGCCGGTCAAGACACCCGGCGCGCTGCTCTCGCCGCCCGCCCGCTACAGCTACGCGTCGGTGGTGCGGCGCGCCAGCCAGCCAGGCCGCGCCGTCGGGGTGGACGGCTTCTTCCCCGAACTGCCGCCGTCGGCGTCGCCCCGGGCCGCGGCGGCTCCGGTGGCACAGCGGGATGGACTTAAGCCCACGGAGCTCGCCTGGTTGCAGGTGAGGAGTGTTCAATGGTGGAGCGCGTTGTTATTGCCTCTTGGCGTCGTACGGGTGTTACAGGGACAAGACCTTTCGAGTCGTCTGAGAATTGGAGGCACGGGTTGCCCTGTGTGTTGGTTGGCACAGGATGGACCGAGCACGAAGTACTCGACGTTGTTAATTCCTGTACTCTTTGACAGCTCACTCACCCCTTAGCATGTCTAATAAGGCCCTCTATGGTAAACTAAGGACTGTTGTTTTTGTTGGCAAGTTGCACTCAAAAGGGAGGTACGATTGCTTTGTGAGCAGAGATCAACAATTTGCATCGGTTGTGATTTGCAGGTGGAAGTAGAAGTCCATAACTCAGAAGAAGAAAATGCATTCCTTCGCCAAGTGTCATTGTGATGCTTGTTCATCACTAGTGTTGCTGTCATTACTGGCGAGCGTTTAACCACGCACGTGTGTGTGTTTTTCGTGGCGGTGTGCAGTTGCAGCTCTCCTCCATTCAGCTTGCGCAGCAGAAGCACGGAATCTTCAGGGAGGACAGCGGCTACAGCATCTCCACGGAGGGCAGCGTGGCTTCCACGAACCGCCAGATCAGCTGCGGCTACGTCAGCGGCGACGAAAGGGTCACGTTGACGGCCAGCGTCGGCGCGACCCAGCGAAGCGCGACCGCGAGCTCCGCGCAGGGCCTCTCGCTGCCCGGAGGTTACCAGAGGGGCAGCGGCAGGCCCCCTCCGTCGCGGGGGGGACGGTGGAGCGGACGGATCAGAAGTGGCGGTGGCGGGAGGAACGCGGGAGACGGCGTCGGGGACTCGCCCGTGTCCCGGCAGGGCTGGCCGAGTCGGCCTGCGCAGAGAGGAGCCGGCGCCGGCGCCCACCACAACCGACGGGGACAGTGGCACTCGGCCAGCCGGGCGGAGCAGAGCTACGGGACGGCGCCGAACCGCAGCGTCGACGCTGGTCGGGCGGCGAGCGACGGGGTGGCGCCGGGCGGCCCCGAGCAGGCCAGCGACTGGATCATAGTGGAACGGCACAAGCGGCAGTTCAGGACGGAGAGCGCGAGGAGGCCGGGCGTCGGGCCCAGCAGGAGGCACGGCGGCGGCAGGAGAGACTACTGAACGGTCCACCCCGCCGGCCAGGTTGGTCGTGAACTACTATGGACATCGCCATCGCTTTGTCCCCCCCCCCCGCCCCGTCTTTGTAAAGCACCTAGCTGATAAAATAAATAAGTTATCTGCATTCGATATTTAATTATTTTATGCCAAAAGCAACTCGGGAGAACAAAGCTGCAGATAAGTCAGACTTACAATGTTTGTTTTTATATGCATTTTGTATAACTGTCGTAATGATAATAAAACCACTGCATACGTCACTGGAACCACTGCAATAATATGTGCTGCTCAAACAGTTATATCTTTTTGACAACCGTCAGGGTTTTCCATGCGACTGCTTGACTCTGGCATTTGACAAAAAGCCATTTTCATCCAATGTTTGTTGTATGTGTGTACGTATGTTGAACTTCCTTTGTGCAGCACCTAGCCAACCGCGCTAATCGGGAGGTACGGTGGAAGGACAACAAACTCAACACAAAAAGCAGTTCTAAAGATATGAGTTTTGTTGTGCCATTCCTCCGCTCTGCTCGGATTGTTATGTAGTGTTGCACGATGTAAATACTTGTCTGCAAAGGGATGTCATTGAACTGAATTTGGTGGAAATAATGATTGTATCTTTTTATACTGTTCAAAAGATACTGCTCTAAAGTAGAACACACTTTCAGTGTGTGTATTTGAGATAAATTAATACATGTATTTATTTTTGATGACCTGTACATAACCGCCGATAACCAAATTACATGAAATGTGCCGATACCAGACGCTAAGCAGGTTTGAGCCTGGATAGTGATTGGATGGGCGACCGCCATGCAGAAAATGGCAGTGCAGCACATGCCACTGTTGTACTGTAATTCTTTGCTCCCTGCCTTCACCAACTCCCATGACCAGCACATTGGGGTGAATTCAGTCAGTTAATTCATAAAACTGTTACAGTTCTATGTGTGAAAACAATATAAAAATGTGATGTGGGCTAATCGATAGGACCTTTTTAAAAAAAAAACATTTCCTCCAAGGCTGGTGTTTGATTTACATTACATACACACAAGTTGCATAAATTAAGTTTAAAACAGATCTGAGCAGCCTTGGGAGTTCCTCATCCAGCTGTGGATTGACCATGGCTGATGATGGAAACGTCCTCTATGCCAGGAGATCTATAGTGTCGATGTGCAAATCATCATAAGCCACGTTTGCATGCAAGCTTGTATAGTGGGTTTTATGGAAGGCGGAGACGAATCTTTGGAGGCAACACTTTATTCCAAATAAGCTGCAGTACAGCCACAGTCTCTCACGAGGGCAGCGGCCCTTTCTGACTACCGCCTGGGGAGGTACTGCCTCCGGGCTAGTATGCCCTATCACGGGGCTACAGGCTCTGGGTCCTCCGGCTACGAGTGCCCTAGGGGAGGCTGCACTGACCTGACCCAACCAAGGTACGGGTCCCGACCACTGGCCCACTCGGACCCGGCCCTTACAAGGGCAGCGGGGCTAGGGGTCCCAGGGTACTAGCACGCTGGTCTTCTAGCTTCTGTCTTGGACTGGCCCTGTACCCTTCCAGAGTTCCTGGCCCCACCTACCTTCCAGAGAGTTCCGGTGGGGGGGGGGGGGGGGTCCCAGGACACCCCATAGTCCCCTCTTATTGAGAGGGGTCCCGGGGGATCCTAGAACACTCCCAAGCCACCTCCTGCTCTGGGGCTAGGGATATAGCGACTGCCCATGCTGGACCGTGTCTGCCCCTGCAGGTAAGTGTACACAGTCCATGTACAGCGCTACACTTGCATGGCCTTATGAGTTTAAATGGATGTCATTTGATTTGTAATGAATGGTGTGCATATCGATGTTCCTCTTCACGTTTTGAGATCTTGACGGTGTGAATTGCACCTACAGTATTCCCTCGTTATTCGCGAGGGGATACATTCCGGAGAGGCTTGTGAATGGAAAATTTCGTGGACAATGATATTGGCCTACGAATTACCTTAAATAAATACACAAGCTATGAAAAACAGGAAAATTATGATAACACGAAAAAATTGGTGAAATAAACAATGTAAATACATTTTGATTTAAAGCTTTCGTGACTCCATGGATTCATATTCTTGGTTCTTTCGGTAAGGTCTTGTATTGTTTCCCTTCTACGTGACTTTACCGAAAGAACCAAGAATATAAATGTAAATACAAATAAATATTAAAGTATTAAATAATAGTTTATAAATGAACTTACCTTAAATCATGATGATGCTGCTGCGCAGTAGGATGCAGTAATAATGCTGACGACGATGACAATGATGATCATTGTGATCGTTCCTGCCTCCTATCTCATCACTTTATCACATCGCTTTCCTTACTCTCGATGCAGTTGTGTGGAGTTCCAGATGCGATTCGCGGATAGCAAGTTCGTGAATAATGAGGGAATACTGTATTTGTCGCTATGTGTACAGCAATAAGCCAGTGTATTTAAATAAAATATGACAGACCTTTTGAAACGTATTGGTATTTTTTCTGTAATAACATTCACCGTCTCATCATGATACCAGATTTTACATGCATTCAAATAAAATAGCTCATAACCTTTTGAACGAAAACTAGATTATGGCGGCAGGATGATGGCAGGCAGTGGTAACACTCGCGCCTCGCAGCAACAAGAGTCTGGGTTCGATTCCCAACTCGGGTGCCTGTGTGGAGTTTGTACATCCTCCCCTCCATGTTCTGCATGGATCACATTGTAACCGGTAGTGGCCACAACATCACACGAAAACATTTACCTGCAATTGCCTACTCAATTGCAATCACACAGCAACATTGGGACCCCCAACTGCGAATACTTGGCAGGACCCTCCTGAAAAAGAGTCGAGGCATTCCTGCGTAAACAAGCATAAATACACAAATACATAAGCACAAATACATAAACAAGCATAAATACACGTACATAAGTGCACTAATCTCCATATATATAAAAGGCAAAGTTGTGAATATGTCTGTTCAAAATGTTTAGCGTACTTCCCGACATGCAACAAACTTTAAATTTGCCATGTGGGTACTTTCCAGACTGTACACCATGCAACTTTTTTTAAAAATACACTTTTTTAAGGGGGGGGGGGGGGAGCTCAATAATGCATTTATTTTTTGCACGGCAAGTGAGCTGTGGCGTCAAATCTGTCACGTGACCCTCGCATGTGGAAGAGTAACGCATTGTAGTGTAGTGGTTAGCGCGCTGCGCTACAAACCCGGCGACCCGAGTTCGATTCCCGTTCACGGCCACCACCGGTGACGATTATTTTAACCGGTCCTGGGCCTCCCCTTGTTCGACTCAAACGAGTAACTGTTGTGGTGTGAACATCGTCACTGGGGAGAGAAAGGCGGCCGGGTGTGGTGAATCCAAGTCCCGAACGAAGCCGGATAGTACAGCTAGTTATTTTATTTAAAAAAAAACATACATAAGAGGTTTTTTTAGGTTAGATCGCGTAAATATATAAATGTGTCATTAAAACACGCCACCACCCGACACAGACAGCTAGTAAAGTTTGTCACGTAAACAGAACGTGTCAATTCGTCACGAGTACAGCACACGGTGTGTTGGAGAGCCAAGCCACAACATTTACAATCTGAGTACGACGTTTCGTCAGTAATTACAACTAGCTTCATCAGGCGACAGCCAGATTTTTGGAGACGTCTTACTGTTTCCTTCCTCATAGAGGCGTTGATGTGTTTACCACCCTTCTGCGCTCTTACGCAACGTGTGGGGGGGGATTACTGAGGCAACGCACATTATGCATGTACATTTTGCGAGCCCTTTGATCTTGTTCTTCCTGTGTTTTAAAATAGCCGTACCGACGGTAATCCCTAATGAAGTGCGCTGCCATTCATAGGCATGCATTTAAATAATTTATTATTTGATTATTCGCTTCTAAGCAGCACTAAGGCGGTAGCTATCCGAACTGTTAAAATTGTTTTGATTTCTTTCAATTACGATATATTACCTAATTAGTCTTGGCCAGTAGTAGCTGGTTTTGCACAGAACTTCCCTTGTTGGCACGCGTGTTCTGCTACTGCTGACAGTTGTATTTGGGAGAATTTAATATTTCTCTGATGTTCTTTTAGTCTCGTGCTGATCATTCGTCCTGTTTGCCCAACATAACATTTTTCACACGTGCAGTTAATCTTGTACACACCTCCTGTTGATAGCTTCGGTAATACATCTTTTGTACCAGATATAAAATTCTGTATTTTATGTACTGTGCCAAATCTGACTCGGATGTTTTGTTTTCACAAACATCTGGCTAGTTTATCAGTTACTCCCGCAATGTACGCTATTTTGATCGTTATAATTACTTGGGCAGTTCAATGCTCGTGTTATTTGATTTTGTTTTGGCATTCAATGCCCTGTTAATTTGCGCATCATTATAACCGTTCATTTGCAGCGCTTCTTTAACATGTTGAATTTCACTTCTCAGACTGTCACCATCTGACACTTTCTTAGCTCTATTATGGATGATATTGGTCGCGAAAGCCTACGTATCAAAACCATGTTGCATTTTTATCTCAAAATAAAAAAAGTCACGTGTTTTTCCTCTTCTCATTTAAGGGGTCCGCCGTTGGTTTTTTACTTTTGGCCTGAACAATAACATTTTTTAGAAATTTGTAATTCCCCAAAAATGCTTAATTTACTCCCCACTCAAGTTGAAAGGTATAATTTCATGCATTTACCAATTCCGTTTTGCCATTTTTTCCCCCTATAAATCTATTATTTTTCACCCATTCATCAACAACAATTGTACCCTGAATGTTCAATGAACTTTCTTTTCCCATTTTCAGAAAATAAATTTGTCTAATAAATTTTTATATATTGAAATAAATACATGTGTTTTCTCTAAAAAATATAACACAGACCAAGCATTAATTTGAGATTTTAATATAATTTTGGTGTACAAATAAGATAAAAATGTACTCTTTTTTAGATGAATGTAAAGTACATTTGAGACATTTTTACCCAAAATGGCATTGAATTTAGTTTTATCCTAGAAATTCAACGTTACATTTCAACATTGACACAGCACTCACGATACCTATGTTTGACCAATGGAACACGGGCGGATCATTTGACGAATCGCAAATGAAATACCGTTGGGCACACAACATGACAAAACCACATTTAGTTCAACATGAGCATTATAAAAAGCATTTTCAATTTTCTCATTTATTGTATTGTACAGTACTTACAATTAGAAACCACACTGCCAACACGCTCATGCAATCAATGCTGTTGAGAAAATGTCATCCTTAAACCCGTCTTCACGTACTGTAGCTTTTGATTTAGCAGAAATAATTATGTCTAAATATGGTGTAAAAGATGAATACCCCCGCCCTACAACCGGTTGATGTCATTACATTTTGCAATTCACGGTCACGATTCGGCTAACTTGCAAAGTTTTCCAACTACGGTTGAAAGTGTTTGTACGTTCGCTATGTCCGTCCGTCCGCAAAGGGAGGGAGGTCATTGGCATGCTCATGATCAATACGAATGAAGATTTAGTGTGGAGCTGCGTTGCTGTTTAGAGGACGTATCCTGGAGAAACCTGGGCCCACATTGCCCACACTAATCCAAGCGTCAGCTGCACGCACCCTCCCCGGCAGAGCCACAATCTGAAAACCCCCCCGAAACTCTGCGCACCCACCGCACTCCCCCTTCCGTTATCATCGCAAAGTCAAAACACTTCCGATGCCGACCCGCGCTTTTCAATCAATAGCGTTCCAAGAATCTGTGCCGTATGCGTGATTTCTCTTCCCGGTTTAATGTTGTGGTCAATTTAGCGGGCTGCAGGGGGTCACGTCACGTGAACCCGCCACACACAACGCGTGCGATTCGAAAAAAGTTGATTCAAAACACAGGGTGATACATTTATAGACACCCCCACTGATCTCTAATGACCCTCTTTGACCTGCTTCTCAACAGGTGATGCAAATAGTGCGATGGCCTCGGCGTGTCTTTCGCAGAAGAGCGTTAAGAGGTTTAATAAGCGAACTGAGATGTGCGGGAGACACGTTGAGGCTTCGCGAAACATCTTTTTAATATTCTGTACGTTAATTTATGCCCATTGTTTTAGTGGGTTATCTATGAATGGATTTACCACTTCCCCTCCCCACCCCCATACATTGAAGAAAAAATGAATGCTTGCTGTCGTTTGTCTCAGATGTGCTCAGGGTGAATAAATTAACGTCTGAAAATGTGCACACACACACACTTATCGTAAATAAATCACGGTCAAAGGCGCAGCCCCGCAATTGCTCGCTCATGCCACTGCTGGCGGAAGGGTCTCCTGCTCGAGGGAGCTCTATGGGCTGTCTGGTCTCACTGTTCCGCATCAACCAGACGTGTTGCGGAGAGGTCGGAGTACCCATACCGCGCCCCACCACCACATGAGGCCCGTCTCAGCTGCCGCACCGGGAGATGGGAACGAACTGGCGACCCTCTGGATTACGAGTCGAGCGTGCCGGACCCGTTTACTCCAGGGGGCAGCGCCTGCAACCCACGGGGCGACCGACAGCGGTGGACAACCCCTCCCTGCGCAATTTTGAGTTGCAACGTGCGGAATGACGCGGGACCTTTTTTGCCCGCTTCGGTGGCACAGCAGTTTGGCGCAGTGCACAAACCGAATCCGGCGACCCGAGTAAAATTCCCACGTTCACGAGTAACTGGTCACGGGTCTCCGCCCCCCACCCTCCCCCCACACTCCCCCCACCCTGGCCCCGCACTATCCAGCGCAATTAAGTATGGTTAAACCAATTCCCTAGACAGACAAGGCGTGGAGGTGCCTTCATCCAGCAGTGGATCGAGCAAGGGCTGAAGATTATTCGATATCAAACATAAAATTATGAAGTAGAGGGCAAGATATGCCATGTAGGATTCGTAATGGCTATTAAAAGAATTGCAATCATTTGGGAGTAACTTTAGTCAACTCTAATTAACTAAGTAATTTATAAACAGCGCAGTTCATCGTGGCCAGCTCTGGGATAGCCTTGAAGCTTTGTTGCTCTGGGCTCCCAGGAAAGCTTGGTGGTACATCACAGCGCAATACATGTCATGGATAGATTGGGTCTGACAGCTGTGGTCATAGATCGAGCAAGATGGCCGCCTGAGGCGCGCGCGCTCCCGGGCCGCGCTCCCAGCAGCGGCTGGCGGGGCCGTTTGTGAGGGGGCCGAGGGAGCCGACGGAGCCGGGGGAGCCAACGAAGCCGGGGGAGGCGACGGGGCCGGGGGAGCCGGGGGGGGCGACGGAGTCGGGGGGGGGGCGACGGAGCCGGGGGGGGCGACGGAGCTGGGGGGGGGGGCGACGGAGCCGGGGGGGAAGCCGGCGGCGGCGGGGAGGGGGGCGACAGAGCCGGGGGGGGGGGGGCAACGGAGCCAGGGGAGGGGCGACGGAGCTGGGGGGGGGGGGGGGGGGGAGCGACGGGGCCAGGGGGCCGACGGAGCCAGGGGGGGGCCGAC